ACCCCCTTCCCCTCCCCCTTTTCTGATGAAGGGTCTAGGCCCGAAACGTCAGCCTCTCTGCTCCTATGATGCTGCTTGGCCTGCTGTGTTCATCCAGCCCTGCACCTTGTTGTCTCGGATTCTCCAGCATCTGCAGTTCCTACTATCTCTGATTCAACAACCTCATTGTTTGCTATCCAGGGTTTATAGGATTTGATGGCCTTTTTTCCTTTTTTTTTTTTGGAACAAATTTGCCCTAAACTCTTCATATCCTACTTGAATGCATCCTATTGTTATGGGTGATTTACTTGAAAGTATCTGCTCCCAGTCCACTTTGACCAAATCATATATAATCTTATGAAAATCAGCCTTCCCACAGTTGAGAACTTTGATTTCAGGCCCATCTTTGTCCTTTTCTATAACAATCTTGAGTTTGGCAGACAACGATCATAACTCTGCTAAATGCTCCCCCATTGATAATTCAACAACTTGCCCAGCTTGTTACCTAAAATTAAGTCCAGAACTAGCCCCTATCTTGTGTAGTGCCTTCTGTGTACTGTTCTGAAAAGCTGTCCTAGATGCATCTTAAGAATTCTGCTTCCTCTAAACCTTTCACATGATGACTATGCCAATTAATGTTGGGGAAGTCGAAATCCCCTCCTATGACTACCCTATCACTTTTACACTTCCCTGAAATTTGTCTACATATCTACTTTTCTATTTCTCTCAGATGTTAGGGGACCTAGAGCACACATCCAGAATGTGATTACTACTTTTTGGGTTTTAGGTTCTAACCATTTGGTTTCATTTGAGGAGACTTCTTAGATGTCATCCCTCCTTACTGCTGTAATAGATTCCCTAATCGATATTACAACACCTCCTCCTCTGTTACTTCCTTCCCTGTCTTGCCTGGAAAATTGAGCTGCCAGTCCTGTTCCCCTCAACCGTGTCTCAGTGACAGAATGTCTTTGTATTCCAGTTTGTGCCCTCAACTTATCTGCCTTGTTCATCAGACTCCTAACAGTAAAATAAATTTTATCTAACCTTGTTAAACTTCCTTGTGCCTTAACTGGCCTATAATGTCTGTGCCTTCCTGACTCACTCGCTGTCAATTCTTATTTTGGCCATTCACCTTCCCCCAACTGAGTGCTCATTCTAGATCCCACCCCCCAGCAAGTTGGTTTAATCCCATTCACACAGCACCAGCAAACCTCCCCATAAGAATGCTGTGCATTCAGGGAGCTAATGTGAAGGCTAAGTGCAACGAAAGTTATTATTTTTCTTGGCAATGTATATATCACTTCTTTCCCTATGCACTTCAGTTTGTGCCCTCTGGTGCTTAATAACCAACTGAAGATATGGAATAAGCAAGTTATACCTTTGGTTTCTTGGTGATTCTGAATGCACAGAAAAATAGTGGACAGATTTCTATGTTGAATAAACATGTTCGATTTGCACCTGCCCATGGATATATTAATGACTTCTTTGCGCTGAGTGTCGTCTGCCAAATACTTGAGACATGCACTGTCCTCTAGTGCATCTGGGGTCTGTGAGGACAGAGCAAACAACTGCCTCTTTCTATAACCAATAAAATTTGAGAAACATTAAAGAATAGTGCAGTCCAAGCCAGCCAGTGTCAGCGAGAATATTCAAAATCAAATGAGACTCAAAAAGAATAATAAAGAAAAATCTCAAAAAACATTTTAGAGATAAGAGAAACTGAAACAGTGTCTAAAATCTTTTCAGCATTTTAATTTTTAAATTTGTTTTAAATTTCATATTTATTAAGGTGAACTCTCAGTACCTGAGAAGTTGTTTGTCAGCTGATATTACAAAAGTGGTACTTTTAATGGAATCTTTTAATGGAGCTTTGTCTTTGTCTGATGAGTGGGCATATGAAAGTTTGCAATAGCAAATTCATTTGCAATGTACTTTTATGATTCTCTAGTAGGAGAGACGCGGACACGAGGGCACAGCCTCAGACTGAAGGGATGTCCTTTCGAACTGAGATGAGGAGGAATTTCTTCAGCTAGGGCTGATTTAATCTGTAGAACTCATTGCCACAGAGGGCTGCGAAGGCCAGGTCATTGAGTGTATTTAAAACCGTGATAGGTCCTTGATTGGTAAGGGATCAAGGGTTATGGGAGAAGATAGGATGGGGTTGAGAAACATATCAGCCATGATCAAATGGTGAAGCAGACTTGATGGGATGAAAAACCTAATTCTGCTTCTATATCTTACGGTCTCTCAGCTATGTACCATTACTGTATAATGCCGGAGGCAGCCAGATTCAGACAGCAGCTGCCTGATTTACAGTTTAACTGTCATGTGGGGTTGCTGAAAGTTCTTGCCAGCTTATTGGATAATAATATTGAGCCCTTTGAGTCTCAGTTATTTTTATTGCAGAATCCATACCATTGTTTTATTCATTTCAAAAGATGAATGGAGATGAGGAAACCATTTGACACCTCTTAGTCTAACTATCCAGTTAAACCCCTGAACTGCTATGATAACATCCAACTTGTGCATGTGTTGAAGCAATATAACACTGTTTCAGTTGTCGGAAGTACTAATGTGTCATTCTGTTTGTAATCATTTCTTGCATATGATTATTGCTAGCAAGAGTGACATTTATTGCTTATCCCTGGTTTTTCTACAGAAGATGGTAGTGAGCCTTCTTTTTGAACTGTTACCATCTGTGAGGTGAAGGTACTGTTTAAACACTGTTGAGGAGGGAGTCCCACTAATTTAGCCCATCAGTTGTGAAAGGATGGTGATGTAGTTAGAACGTATGGGCGTGGATCCTGAAAGTGCAGTCACTCCCATGTTCCACATGTCCTTCTAGATGTTTTCATGACAACTATGCCCCTTTCAAATAGACAATGGCTTTAGTGCAGAGTGATCTGAAAAGAAAGCCTTCAACAGTAACTTGATTGAGTTTTTTGAAGAAGCAACATAGAGAATTGATGAGGGCAGAGCAGTGGACATGATCTATATGGACTTCAATAAGGCGTTCAACAAGGTTCCACATGGTAGACTGGTTAGTAAGGTTAGATCACATGGAATACAGGGAGAACTAGCCATTTGGATACAGAACTGGCTCGAAGATAAACAGAGGGTGGTGACGGAAGGTTGCCTTTCAGACTGGAGGCCTGTGACCAGTAGTGTGCCACAAGGATTGGTGCTGGGTCTACTGCTTTTTCATCATTTTATATAAATTATTTGGATGTGAACATTGGAGATATGGTTAGTAAGTTTGCAGTAAACACCAAAATTGGTGATATAGTGGACAGCGAAGAAGGTTGCCTCAGAATACCTCAAGGACATTGATCAGATGGGCCAATGGATTGAGGAGTGGCAGGTGGTTTTTAATTTAAATAAATGAGGTGCTGCATTTTGGAAAGATATATCAGGGCAGGATTTACACACTTAATGGAAAGGTCCTGGGGAGTGTTGCTGAACAAAAGAGACCTTGGAGTGCAGGTTCACAGTTCCTTGAAAGTGGAGTCGGAGGGAAATAGGATAGTGAGGAAGGCATTTGGTATGCATGCCTTTATTGGTCAGTTATTGAGTAGAGGAGTTGGGAGGTCATGTTGCACTTGGGAAAGACATTGGTCAGGCCACTTTTGGAATACTGCGTTCAATTCTGGTCTCCCTGTGAGAGGAAGGATGTTGTGAAACTTGAAAGGATTCAGAAAAGATTTACAAGGATGTTGCCACAGTTGGAGGGTTTGAGCTATAGGGAGAGGCTGAGTAGGCTGGGGCTATTTTCCTTGGAGCATCGGAGGCTGAGGGGTGATCTTGTAGAAGTTTACAAAATTGTGAGGGGCATAAGTAGGATGAATAGCCAAGGTCTCTTCCCCAGGTTCATGAAGTCCAAAACTAGAGGGCATAGTTTTATGGTGAGAGGGATAAGATTTAAAAGGGAGCCGTGGAGCAACATTTTCATGCAGAGGGTGGTGTGTGTGTGGAATAAGCTGCCAGAAGAAATGATGGAGGCTGGTACAATTACAACATTTAAAAGGCATCTGGATGGGTATGTGACTAGGAAGCATTTACAAGGATATGGGCCAAATGCTGGCAAATGAGACTAGATTAATTTAGGATATCTGGTTGGCGTGGACAAGTTGGACTGAGGGTCTGTTTCCATGCTATACAGCATTATGACTCTATGACTCTAAGTGGCACTTTGAGTTTGAAAGATTAGACAATTTAGTTTATTGGGTGTATGAATAGTTAACATATACCAGCATCATTCCATTAGCTTTTGTCATGCAGGGATAGTGTACCTACCTCTGGGCCAGAAGATTCTGGCCCATGTCACACCTGCCACAGAGGTGTATCATAATACCTGAACAGGTTAGTTAAAAGAAATACCAGTCCTATAGATTGTGGAAATTTGACGTGAAGCCGTTTACATTGTACAGATCTGTATGTGAATTAGACATGAAGTATCTAGCATTGCCCCAATCTGTGTTGTTAGTTTATTCCCCTTACATTAGTAATTTTTATTCATGCTTTTCAGCTGCTTACAATTAGTTCAGCTCAACGCCTCTCCAGCCTGGCAGACATGCAATCCTTTCCTTACCTCACCGATATCAACTGGGATGCCGTTTTGGAGAAGAAGCTCACTGCTGGTTTTATTCCCAATGTAAGTCATCAGTCAGTTTGTCGATGGGACTCAAATCCATTGATTTTCAGATACAGTGCCTCCTAACCACTGTTAATTGAATGAAACAAAGAGCTGCAGATGCTGGAGATCTGAAACAAAACCAAGAAATTGCTGGATAAACTCAGCAGGTCTGGCAGTAGCTGTGGAAGGAAATGAGTATTAATTTTTCTCTTGAACCATTTTGAAGAAGGATAACCGGACCCGAAATGTTAACTGCTTTCTTTCCACAGATGCCTCCATTTCCCCCAAGACCATGATTCCTGCTGGTCTCTTAACTCCAAATCCTAGTCCCTGTGGTTCCCTGATTTATCCTGCCATTGTCCTGGTCTAATATTCTATTGTCCTGACTCAAAACTAAAATTCAGAATTAGTTGAATGATATATTCTATGGGGCACCAGACCTATAATAAAATGAACATTTTTTTTTGTTATGCAAACTTCCCCGGAGAAATTCAGCACGTTGGAGTGTTTCTGTGAATGTTTACAGACAGAAGGCCTCAATTTCAAGTTCTTCCAAAATGTAGCATAATAGCTTGTTAGCTTGGAAGGTAATAGATGATGGTTAATAGCAAAAAAAACAGCTGATGCACTTGAATCACAGCAGAATGTGCATTGAGTCAGTCCAATGCACTAACTGCCCCATTCAAATACTGACTAACATTTGCACTTTTGAACTTCATATGTCCAATGTTTTCTTTTTAACTTGCTTCCAAATTCACAAGACTGAAAAGTTAGTATTTGGGGGTGGGGGAAATGGTTGAGTCACATGACATTATTAATTATAAATCAGACAGTGCTATACGTGGTTTACTTACATTGCATAAAGCACAGATAAAGTTACTTGCAAGAGACGAAAGACAAGATTAACAGATTACCTTTGAACTTCATTTTGGAGTGTCATGCACTTTTACACTTTTGTTTAGTCTAATGTGTGCA